GTATCTGCTAAATTCACCCTAGCACGCCAAAAAAGAAAAAAAAAAAAATTTAAAAAAGAAAAACAAGTCAAAATCAAGAAACAAGATGGTTTTAGTCTTACAGAAGCTAAAGCACTAAACAAGATTCAAGAGGAATCAAGACCAAAAATCATATTAGCAACTCCAGAAGAATGGTTGACAGAAGTATTAGAACAAATTAGCATTAAAGATGATTCACAGTATAATAAGAAAAGGTGAAAAAAGACGAAAAAAGATCTTTTGGCAAAATGTATATATGGACTGAAGTTCTAATGGAACATAAATATGAATTCATCTCAAAGTACAGTAACACCTAGGCCGAGGGGTGTCAAAAATTGGAAAAAGAAAAAGAAAGATACTTTATTAGAAATACTAGAAAAGATCTTTATAGGATATCTCAAAAATTGAAAGATCTTTAATGAAATACAAGAAAGATTCTTAGGAAGAAGACCAAGTTTCAAGAAGTAAAAGAAAAATAGAAAGACCGAGAAAAGAAGAGAAGAAGAATCTTATACCCAGAATATGGAAAGAAGAGAATTTGAGCAGACTGACCAAAATCCTAAAGCGAAGAAACTGAAAGAAGACTTAAGGTACCAGAAGAAAAAGAGAATGTATAAAAGAATATTTCTGAAGGAAATGCTAGAACAAGCTCTCAAGAAGAAGAAAAAAAGAAGTACAAAGCTATAAACCAGGAAAGAAATGTTATAGAACTGAACAAGAGAAGGCTCCCAAGACCCAGATTTCAAATTGGAAAAGACAGGTTGAACTGGAAGAAAAGGAAAAGAAAAAAGAAATATAAACACGAACGAAAAAATTGTGGCAATATTCTTATTATGAAAGAGAAAATTATTTGGTTTATTCTTAGAAAATTTGGTTTAGAACTTTGTTCAAAAGAGGTGGATATTTTAAAAAAAGAAAATTGCCAACTTAACATAGTAAAGAATTTGTTCGTTTCGAAACTGTCTTGTGATAGTTTCTTAGGCTAGCTTGGTATAGCCTTCCGGTACAGTCAATTGCTTTAACCGGTGAGGCAGACTGCATTTGGGCACCCTTAGGGGCAGCCGAGTGATGTAGGATCTGTAACTTAGATAGTTTAGATGTACCTTGTGCATATGCTTTAATTTAATAAAAATACCGGCGAGGCTGCCAATAAAAAAAAAAAAAAAATACAAAACTATTTCTATCTTAGCATCTAGTGATTGGATTTTTATGATTTTGGATTTGTTAGAATCCTCTTAATGAGAGAATTCTAACAAGTCCAAAATCATAAAAATCCAATTACTAGATGCTAAGATAGAAATAGTTTTGTATTACTATAAATATATTTTATTATATTATTATATAGTAATACAAAATTATTTATATCTTAGCATCTAGTTATTAGATTTTTATGATTTTAGACTTGTTATAATCCTCTTAATGAGAGAATTATTTTGGTAGTTAAATCATTCAAATTGGCCCAGTATATCAAAAGTTATTAATAATTAAAATTTTATAATTAAATTTTAATAAGTTTATAATTTGGTTTAAAAATATTTTTTAATTTTGGCCGAAACTTGATAATTTTGGCCAGGATTACACCTGATACACTGGCTAACCCACTCACCCACCCTGAAATCAGCTGATTTCTGGAAACCCTCTTATACAATTTGTTTTTAGTCTGACTTGAACTATTGACTTTGTCTGTGAAATTTGAGAGCTTAACCAATAAGCTACAGAACCCAAACTCTCTTATATAACAAATTATGTAATTAATATTTATTATTTTTATAAATATCTCAGTCTAACTAATTAAATACAAAATTATTCATGATAATTATTAATAAATTAAACTTATTAATACAGTACAATATATACAATCTATAAACTAAAATTTTCTATAATTAGTAAGCCTAAACATATTACAAAAACTAAATGTATTAAGTATTAAGCCCAAACCTTCTATTATAAACCTATTTTTACAATAACAGTCATATAAGATGTCATGCAAATCATGTGTGTAAAATTTTTAATATAGAGTCAAATGATTGATGCACCTAATTTTTATATGTAAAATTAAGGAAAATTTTGCTTTCTGGGTTTATTTAATAATAAAAAATTTGTTTGTTTGATTTATGGGTGTTATTTGCAATTTTCTAGCATTCGAAAATTCTTCTCTCGAAATTTTAAGGGTGGTTTAAAATAAAATAGATAATAATCTTGATCATGAAGTTAGCCTATTTTTTTACGATTTTTGCTATTTGTTTATAAGTAATATATGTTGTTTAACCAAAATAGGTAATGATAAACATCCAATTGCTTAGATAATCATCATTACCTATTTTGGTTAAACAGCATATATCACTTATAAACAAATAGCAAAAATCATAAAAAAATAAGCTAATTTCACGACCAAGATTATTATCCATTTTATTTTAAACTACCCTTGAAATTTTGTGAGAAGAACCTTCGAAGGCTAGAGAATTTGCAAATGACACCATAAATCAAACCAACAAAATTTTTATTATTAAATAAACCCAGAAAGCAAAATTTTCCTAAATTTTACATATAAAAATTAGGTGCATCGATTATTTGACTCCATAGTAAAATTGATCTGCATGACATCTCAAATGACTGGTAAAAACTATTACTTTTTAATTATAAAAAAATTTAAATTAATATAACTTTTTAAAAATAAAAAATATTTAAAAAAAATTTAATAGATTTTTGTTTAAACTATTAAACTACTGTACAGCACGGACTATAGTACCCCAGGTATGATACATTCCATAGCTAAAATCCAAGTTAGTACCCGGATATTATATAAGAGGTGTATTTTACATAGAAATGATATATACTACATAGTTAATACCCGGGTATTTTACTATGTAAAGTATCCAGGTATCTTGCATTCAACTGCAAAAAATTTTTATAAGGGTACTTTGATGTGGGGGGGTACTATGGTTCACGCTGTACGATATTAAAATTTTTTTAAATATTTTTTGTTTTTAGAAAATTATATTAAATTTATATATGATTCAAAATTTTGGCACTTATATATAAAAAAAACATAACAAAATTTGAATTTATTAATAAAATTTTAAATTTTATTAATAAACTTGATTATATTAAGTTTTTTGGCATTTTAATTGGATAATCAGGTTATACTGCAGTTAAAAAATTGGTGCCTATATATAAAATATGTTGGCTTTAGATGAATAAAATTAAATAGTTTGTAATAAAGTTGGGTTGTTAAAAGTCCTGTTCGGTCAGACTCAGCTTCAAAAGTCAAGTAAGTCCATCAAGAAATCGATTTTCATGCATAATAATACTTAAGAATATATTCATTTCGATCTAAAATCAATAAGATTGAAACTAGTCCTATCAGTATTGGAATAATTACTGAAAACAAACACATACCAATACATTCTGATCTAAACGATGATATTAGAACTAGTTCTTAGTTAGTTCTATCAATATACTAAAACAAACACGTTACTATTAAAAGTATTATTAATATGACTATTAGGATTCTGCTCATAAGTAGCTACAAGTCAACTCAATGTGCTCATGCTGAATCGACTCAAAGGACTGACTCTAATAAGCTTTTTAACAGTCTTATAATAAAGACTTGTTTAAATCTAACATAATAAGGCAGTTTTAAACAAAAATGCTTCCAGTTATCTCATTCCACAGCATAATTTTATATGGTTTAATAAATGGTAGATATATTTTGTCTTCTAAGCAAGATTCTTCGAAAGTTATTCTTTTTTTGTTTCTTTTGCACAGTGAACGTTAACACTTTGCTGAAGCTATAAATGATATTTTTGATTAATGAAACGTTGCATTCTTAAAAAATCCTTTAAAATGCATAAATAAGTTACCCAAACCGGTGTTGTCATGGGACAGTTGTGGACGGACACTTTGGATAATTTTGAACAATTAAAATTACTCAAAATTTTATTAATATAACCTATATTAATTTCTAAGCAAAATATGTTCAACATCTAAAAAAAATATATAATCATATATTTTTTAAACAAATTTATTAATTATTAAAGCTTGAACATGCTCTGGACACTTTTGGACACTTGGACGTTGGACAGTGCCAAAAAAGTCTTTGGACAGTCAAAACGTACATCACTGACCCAGGCAATTAATTTACATTAACTAATAAACCAAAATTCTTCTGAAGGAGAGCCGTTTAATAACCCTATCGATGAACTGACTGTCGGTGAATCGACGTGTAGGTGAAGCAACGCGTCTCTATATATTCTTATACGAGATGCAAGTATCTTAATGCAAGATAAGCCATAAAACTGTACAAAAGATTAATCTCTGAGAACCCGATTTCAATAATACTAAAATTTGATAAATAATTCATACAAATAAAATAGTAATGACAAAGAAATATGAAAAGTTTAATCATAACATTAATATTTACAAATAATCATTAAACCATCGTTTTCAATAATGCGAGATTTATAATTAATCAAAAAACCTTTGAATGATGAAAATATAATCAATATCGGTCTATTTTTTTAGAAAAGTCAAACCTTTTGCTTAAGAATGTATAACGTACTTTATATTATCGAGTTAGCAGATTAAACATTCGAGGACTGTTAACTTGATGGATCTAATTTGCATCATACACAAATTAAAAAATAAATGTGACTAAGTAAATGTAAATATCTATTTTTCAATCAGAATAAGAATAAAAAGAAATATCAGAGAGGCGTTTTCTCAACACATGATTGACCATTTAGTTTGAAACAGCCTTATAAAGATATTGCAGGATTCATCTTTTAATCTTAAGTTGGATAAATGAATAAATAAATACAATTACTTACTATTATACACTAAGATCAATGGTTTTTATTACCTTAATTATATAGTATTTTTAATATGATCAGTTAGACTATAATTTGTACTCTTGCATGGCATTATGTAATTTGTTATTATACTATTTAGATATACCTCACCTCGTAATAACTTTGAGATACTCAATAATGACTCTGAAACACTTTTCTAGCAAAATCCGCAAACGTAATATCCCCAACCATTTCATCTAATGGTGGGTGCATAAATACAGCAAAAGTATTTCTAGAAATAACATTAATTGGTATTTCACTTTTAACATTTGGCGAAATTCCTTTAACCATATGAGGAGTTGCCAACAAATTATTTCCAGAAGCCAATTGCATTGCTTCACCTAATTGAAATGCCAAATAATCTTTAGGTATCGAAATTTTAATAATTTTACTAGACTTAGTTTTTATATAGAGACCAGATGATGGATCTGGACATTGAATTTCAGGAAATGCCGAGTCGGATTCGTTTATATACATTGCGGATGTTAATCCTAATTTAAAAATAATTGAAAAATAATTGAAAATAATAGTTAAATAAATATTGTAAATAAAAAATAAATGTATACCGATAAATAATAATTTTTGATGTATAAATTTAGACCTGTAATAGATGAATGATCCACATGCCATCCACACCAAGAATCTTCAATGGTTTCACTATTTTCATTTGTTTTATCGTCTTTTTTTGGTTGTACCGGAAAATAATGTAATAGTCGAGCTTTTGTAGTATGTGATTCCATGATAACTTTTTCAAGGTAATTCTGTTTTGCACTTGGTAATTTTGATGACACTTGATAGAAATATTCTTCGTTAATAAGAGAAACAAAAACAAAGAAAAAAATTAAGATTTAAGAAAAAACAAACCAAATGAGTCACAAGCTTTAGCCACCAGTTTAGCAATATCCATAACAAAACACCCCAAATCTTTAAAAGCATGCTCAAATTGTGGTAAGTCGTCTTTAGGCCAAATATTCGGATGACAATAAATTGGAAATTCTAGTTTTTGTTCTGGAG